TGACAAGTAAAAAGGCACAGTCCCACTGTTACCAAACCACATGCCAGGCCATTAATTTAAGTCCATTGTAAATCCCAAAGTTCACAGAGCATGGCAGGCTGCTGAACAATGACACAGCTACATGTAGGGTCCAAGCATGTCATAAGCAAGCAACTATCCCCAAGGCTTCTCCTTATATACAGGAAGCAGACCATATTCTTAAGGCAGCTACTTAGCTGCTCATAGTGGATTCCACCATTTAGTTGATTACCAGTCTCATCATGGGGGATACTACATGCAGCTGCCCAGCCACTCAACCAGGCCCAGCCAAGTTGACACACAAACTGAACTACCACAATTCCACCCCTTGTCAACTTGGCATCTGTACAGATCTTCCCTGGGTGGGATCTGTACAGATCTCTCTCAATGGGTGGCTCCAGTCCCCTAGTTTCTCTAAGTGGTGACCTCACTCCCTTGGCCTGGCAGACCCCGTTCCTCTACCTCTTGGGCATGGCAGCCCCGCTCCCTCACTCCTGGGCAACGGCTATGGCTCCATCCCACTGGATCACATGAATGAGCAGCCCCACACTCCAGAACCAAGTTGGTGAAGGCCTGATTCTTTGAAACCTAGCAGGCTGTGGTGGTTCCACCCCCAAAGGCCATGGTCCTGCCCTTTGAGGCTGAGGCAGCTCTGCTTCTGTTTCCTTGATCTCTCTGCTTCTGCCAGTTAATGCCCGAGGGCAACCCACTCCACCAGAAATCTTCCTGCCCCCAAAAAAGCACTCAGCTTTCTTGCTCCATGGGCCATCCAGCCTGCTACTCCATCTTATGCTGGTCTTCTCCACCGATTAACGCCCAATGACAACCCACTCCACCAGGAAGCCATCTACCCAATGGCACCCAGCTTTCTCCTCCGTGGTGTGGTAAGCCTGTTGCTGTTTAATGCCAGTCTCTGGGCTATGCTACTGTTGTCTCTCATGCTGGTCTGCCGGCTCTGCTCCTGCCATCTCTCATGCCATATGCCGGGGTCTCAGGTCAAGGACACACGCCACTCCTGCTTCCACATTTTAGGCATCTGTCAGAGCAGCACCCCACTCTCATGGTACCATATTCTGTTCTGGTTACCTAGTGCCACTCTGACAAGAATGTACCTCAGATGGGATGGCTGAACAAAGAGGAGTTTATTCTATTACAGTTTGGAGGCTTTAAGACCAAGTTCAAAGTGCCAGGCTTGAGGGCCTGGGTGAATGCCCCTCAACCTTGAGGTCCAGCTCTGCCTCCTGCTCCTGGCCCACTGAAGCTAGAGGCATTTCTTCACTCAGACAGCTGCTGGCTGCTGAGGCTGACAAACCCAAGGTTGACAAGTAAAGAGGCACAGTTCCACTGTTACCAAAACACATGCCAGGCCATTAATTTAAGTCCATTGTAAATCCCAAGGTTAGCAGAGCATGGCAGGCTGCTGAACAATGACACGGCTACATGCAGAGTCCAAGCATGCTATAAGCTAGCGACTATTCCCAAGGCTTCTCCTTATATACAGGAAGCAGACCACATTCCCTAAGGAAGCTACTCAGCTGCTCATAGTGGATTCCACCATTTAGTTGATTACCAGTCTCATCATGGGGAATACTACATGCAGCTCCCCAGCCAGTCAACCAGGCCCAGCCAAGTTGACACACAAACTGAACTACCACAATGTGAATAGCGCTCAATCCATCCAGAACACATATAATGAGTAATGGAACACTAATTAAAACTTAACCATAAGGAAATAAATAAATGCCATTTGAAGGGTCAGGGAGAGACCAAAAGGGATAAGATATGGTATAAATTATTTACAAGTTTACACATGTTTTGGGTTTGGCAGGTGGGACATGTAAAGCAATGATCCTGAATTATTTTGGAAAAATATGGAGGATAGCAATCATATTTTCTATGTTTGTCATTATACCTTTGGCCATGTGAGTAAAGCATATGAGGAAGATGAGGAAGTAGTATTTGTTGAGCAACTAAGCAGCTTTTTGGAAAATACCACAGATTGTTGAGATACCATGGTTAATTCTGCCTTTCCCTACTGTTATTTTTCAAATTTTGCATCTTTGTCTTGTAAGAATCAAAATTATTTAAATTTTGAATTGAGAATTTATTAAGATACTGAAACATGTAAGAATGCTGCCTGAAAAGGGGACAGAATGCAGGAAAAATAAAAATGTTTACCTTGGGACCTTCAACAAAAGCTCTGTGAGCCTTACACTCAACAGAAACAAGCTTAAAAGGTAACTATTACTCTTTAATCATTATGTGACACAGAGACTTTTACTGATGGGAGTCCAAGCAGAAATGAAGTAAATGAATTTCTGCTGAAGTATACTAAAATCCTAGCCAAAGGCATATGAGAGACCATATATATTAACACCTGAGCTAAGTTATCTGTATGAGTGAAAGCTACCCTTAGCACAATGGACTGAAGGGTGCCAGCAATGGTGTCTGCATAGCCTGCAAAGAGATTACTCTATGAATATCTTTGGCAAAGTCATAAAGAATAGGAAAATGTTGTAGGTCTGGTGAGTTAGAATGACACAGTTGTAGGACTGTGAAAGTATAAAGTAGCATAGCAAGATTAAGTAGGGTACACTGGAAAGTTGTTATATGAGGAACGGCCAGTATAAGGAAGGTTTTTATAATTACCTTCTCAGTTTACTGCATAAAATGAGATTAACTTACATTTCACCAATTTGTGCACTCTTCCACATCCATTTTGCCCCCAGCATACTCAGCTCAACCTCATCAGTTTTTGTCTCCACTTCCTCTGAGGTGAGCACCGGTCTACATCATGACCTCCCTTGTTGTCATGCAGCCCAGGTCTAAACTCCTCAGGTCATATATCCCCTAGATAGACTATAAATTATGCAGTTTATATAACTGAACCGTAAGCTAAGCCATCATGACAGTAGAAGGAAATAAAAGCTTTATGTTAGTAACCAAAAAACCAAACTCACTACCCTCGAGTTGGATCCAACTCATAGAGACTTCTCATTGGGTTTCCGAGGCAGTATCACTATGGAAGTAGATTGCCCAACCTTCCTTCCCAGGAGTGGCTGGTGGGTTTGAACCACCAACTTTCTGGTTAGGATTCAAATGCCCTAGGCACGATGCCACCAGAGCTCCCACAACACTTATATATAATGATAAGTTATACTTTCTTTGTATAGATGTTTCAAGCTGTTACTTCTTCTTGAAATGCCCTTGTCTTCTGTTCTCCACAAATGTTCTAGATTCCAATTCCAAGAATTTCTCTTTAAGATATATCCCAGGCATGATGAATAGAAGTAATCTTCTACAGTTTTTGGTTCCCAGAAACATTAATAAA